AAGCTTACGCGCATAACGTGTACGGGTAACGGTAACTTCGTGCAGGGTAACGAAACGTAAAAGCATTAAAAAAGTGAGAACAAAGTTCATACATAAATTTCAAGTAAATAATAAAAATTCTCATAAAACAATTTTCATTAGTTCATGCGTTTTTCGCTCACCTGCACCATTCGCTTCATCTCATCCTTCTGTATCACTTTTATTTGCGCCGATTCACGCAGCCATCGCCTCAGCCAGTGACCGAACCACACCAAGCCGCACTCGCACTCGAGCGGATTGTGTGACGTGTCCAGTCCGCCCATAATGCTGCGTGTACCCACAGTGTCCCAGTAGGTTTTGTTCGGGTAGAAGCTGTCCGCCGCCAGCGCATTGATTTTGTTGTGCGAAATGTCGATAGCCAGCTGCGGTACGGCACGCAGCGTATAAAAAATGCCCGGCGGCAGATCGGATATTTTAGTGTGTGAGATTTTTACCAGCAAATGTTGATTGCGCGCCAAGCCCGCCAGCGCATCCGGTGCTATTGTCTGCACATTGCCGCCATACAACTCTAACAGCTGTAGTTTTGTGTTATTCACCAGCTTCGCCAGCAGCTCCGGCCCTATATTTGTTTCCATGCAGTGCACACGCAACTCCTGCAGGCCCGGTATACGCGCCACAATCTCACCCAAATTCAGATGCGATGTGAGATGTAATTTGCGTAGCGAACGTAGCTTGATGAACACCGACGGATTGGCTACCTTGACGTCGAGCAAATTGAGATCGGTGAGGTGGCGTAGCGCAACGAGGTCGTGCGCGCTGATGCGCCGCAGTGGGTTGTGCGCCAAATCGAGCACACGCACAGATGTCGGTAGATGTTCGGCAATATTGCTGGCGTTGACAATTTTATTATGCGACACATTGACGTGGCGCAGCTGGCGCATTTCGTGTAGCGATGAGAGCTCCTGCAGGTAATTTCCGCTCACATCGAGGTGTGATAGATAGGGCAGACTGAGTTGGGGCAGCACATAGAGGCCCATGCGACGTATTTTGAGACGCCGTAGGCGCGGCGTGTGTAGGAACACCTCTTTCAGATTGGTGGTAACCAGTGGATTCTGCGACAGCTCCAAGTTGGTGAGATTGTTTAGGAAAGTGAACGTGTTGTCAGGCAGCACTGTAATGCGATTGCAGGCCAAGTTGATGTCGTAGAGGAATTGTGAGTTCACAAACATGCTGGAGTCGAGGTATTCGAGCGCATTCTGCGCCATCTGTATGCTGCGCAGCGTAAAGCCGACATCAGAAAAGGCGGGTACAGGCCACACCGATAGCTGATTCTCGGAAATATCAAAGTATTCAAGGCGCGTATTCATGAAGACCTCGCGTGGCAAGGCGCGCAGACGATTACCACGCACGCGTAGTATGCGCAGCTTGCGCAAATTCGAGAACTGCTCCACTTGCAGCTGTTCGAGACCATTATAGCCGAGATCCAATTCTTGTAGACTGTTCAGACCCTGAAAACTGCGGCGCCGCAGCGAAGTGATGTTGTTGTGTGCGAGATTGAGTATTTCGAGGAATTCGAGGTCGCCGAATGCGTGGTTGGCAAGCCCACCTATGGTGTTGTGCGCGAGGTTGAGGAAGCGTAGCGTATTGGCTAGATTGGCGAAGCTGTCCGGCGTGCTTATCGCATTGTGGCTAATGTCCAGGTTGTAGATGTACATATACGAACTGAGTTCGTCCTCGAAGTGGCTAATCTGATTGTAGGTGACGTTCAAACGCAGCGGTGTGCTGGTGTTCGAGACGAAATGAAAAATTTTTAGGGAAAGGGAACAGAGGTTGTTGTGCATCAAATCCAAGGCAGCGAGATTGGGCAGTATGGTGAAGGCACCATGGGAGATGTTGGCCAGTTGGTTATAGGACAAATCGATGTAGCGCAGAAATTCCAGATTGTAGAAGGCGTGCTTCTCCAGCAGTTTCAACTTATTCGATTGTAGGTTAAGCGTCTGCAGGTCACCTAGACTGTGGAAGGTATTGCGTGCTATGACTTCCAATGAATTGTACGAGAGATCGATCTCCACGAGGTGGCTGTGCACATCGGGCAGAAAGAGACCACNTTGTAGGTTAAGCGTCTGCAGGTCACCTAGACTGTGGAAGGTATTGCGTGCTATGACTTCCAATGAATTGTACGAGAGATCGATCTCCACGAGGTGGCTGTGCACATCGGGCAGAAAGAGACCACGCGGCAGCTGCTTGAGTTGGTTAAACGCCAGGTTAATATAGCTAAGTTCCCGCATATTTGCGAATGAATCGTTGGAAAGCATCTTCAAATTATTATTGTCCAAACCCAGCCACATGAGCTGTGAAAGCGGCAGTAGTGCGTCGAGCGGATCGATGGACTCCAAACTGCGTGCAGGAAAGACGGCGAAGGAGAGTTCCAGTATCTTAAGTGTGCGCGAAACATTCTCAAATACCATGGGATGGTGGATATTGATGTCGTTGAAGCTCAAACTGATTTCCTGTATCTGCTCCAAGCCGTAGAAAGAGCCCAAATGCAAGTGCGTGATTTTGTTGTTACGCAGCAGTATCGTCTGTAGGTTTGCGCCCCAATTGTCCACCGCGAAAATGCCCTCAGGTATGTCTGAAATGAGGTTGTAGCCCATATTGAGGTAAGACAGCTGCGTGTAATTACGCAGCGCCAGCACTGGTATCATCGTGAAGTTGTTGCCGCTCAAGCTGAGCACGCGCAAATTATCC